GCTCGCGTTTCGCGTATTAACCTAAGTAAATTTCGATGTTCGCCGCATTCACTGTTGATACTGGCTCCCTGAGCGGCCGACTCCATTTTCAAATGTAAATGTCACTCTGATTTCTTCATAATCCTAATGGCCGGCATTTTGCCGCGTTTAGGTGATTCCTGTGTGAAAAGCGTTTGGTTTTTTAGATGATATTTTCTCCTCGGTAATTGTTGGACGTGGTTTAAATGATACAAATTTTTTAATAATGTCACGGTGCTCAGAATTTAAGTCGTGACTTTGTAAATAAGACGGAAAATGTTTGAATATGTAAAAAAAAACAATATGAAGAGGACAGTGAGATTAGTGGTGTTAAAACATTAAGAACCTTTAGAGAATCTTAAATATATCTCACATTGAGAATGACAATGTCACTAACCAAAAACGACGTATTTTTTACTTTTGGCAACATTTTTCTTAGTTAATTATAAACTTTAAAATGCAAAGATCCATGTGAACATAGCTTGCATAGAAATTGCTAGGTAGCGTAGTGACGATACGTTGTTTAGAGGGGCTGATTACAATTTCTTGAACTTTAAACGCTCATTACTCAAAATCGCATTTTTTGCATTGTGTCACTATCGTTCTCAACGTGCGATATTAAAAACAATTTCAATATCAAAAAACACCAACATATATTTCAATGAAACAAAAATAATGAATATAAGACATATCAACAAATGTATGATTACAAAAATCCTTTATAGTGTATCATTTACATAAGGTCTCAGGTAAGAAAACCTTAGGTCCACCAAAGTTCAAAAAGCACTAAAAAAGTACTGCATTTGGAGGAGCACTTAATATGTAAAATTCTCGTTCTACGAGTACATATATCATACTTCAATTATAATATTGTCATGGTTTTAGTTTTTGATGAGAATAAATTATTTAAACAATTTTAATAAATTAAACGCGGAAGTAAAGGGATGAATAAACTAGATTCCCAAGCCCAGTCGTCGACCCCGGAGGTGCCCCGAAAAAGTCGGGGAACAATGGCGCTACCACAACTAGCGAGCACAAAACACACATCCCTCTATTGTTTATGGTCACGATCCACGTCTCGTCTGTAGCGCGCGGTGCCGGATGCGAGCATGCGGGCGCTCGAGATGTATTGGAACCAATAAGATAATGAGCCTCGTAAACAGTCATGCGCTGTCAAATTGTTACTGGGCACAGGAAAAATTGGCTACATCTGATTTGCACCGCGCTAGGACAATGACACATATAGGAACAATATTAGCTACAATTTTTTAGCAACATTTAAATATTTTAAACGCATGGCGTATAAGACTTCTATGCTAGCCTACTCTCATTTTCTTTTCTCTTATATGTTCGTTGCAATTCAATAAGTTTGGTTATATTGACATCGATTACATTTCATGATATTGAAATCGTTTATCAGCCCAGACTGTTACAATCACTTGTTTAACTCGCTGTGCCATCGGTTCGCAAATCTACGATGAGTAACCTTGTATTAGAAGATATAGGTACTTTATACATAATTCTTTCAGTTTTTCCAAAACTACGCATCTGATTTCGTAAAAATTTAAAGGGACCTCTAAAATAAAAACAATCACCAGAATCTGTCCACTATTGATTAAGATATATATATATATATATATATATATATATATATATATATATATATTTCGCATGTCACAAGTATTTATTAGAGTTACAGTCAGTGTGATACCCTGAAGGGTGTAGCAATTGTAGCATAAATAACACTAAATAAACAATAACAATATTATTAGTCCAGTATACATAATGAGCCCTAATTTATTATTGGGAGGTCACTTTATTATATGTTTATTTTATAATACTCTAGTTAGGTCGGGCTCTAATCCTCAAAGAATTCCGAGACACTGTAATAGCTCTTATTTATTAATAAGAAATTGTTTGAACTGATTTTCAAAAGCCTTCGCTTTTTCGAGCTCTTTAATGTAATTTGGTATTTGATTGTTAATTTTAATTAACATTGAATGGGGACTGCTGAGTATAATTTCATTTTTGTAGAAGGGACCTTTAGTTTATTATGGTATATATTGCTACGTCTTAATAATTCTACCGGGGAATATAAATACATATGCATTTTGACAATTTTACAGGATTCAAAAATATATATTAGCAGAATAAGAATTTTCAGACTTTTAAAATAAGGTTTACAAAACTCCATTTGGTTTATAATTGTAATTATTCTTATGCATCGATGCATCCAGGCTATTTCCCCAAAGAATTATTTCATAGTTTAGACGTGATTGGACAAAGTAATAAGCGGAGAGCGCTGTTTCTTGATTAGATAGATAGACGTTTCAACTGCTTATTAGATAACATATGGATATGAGATATCCAATTAATATTTCTATCGATCTCTCTTCCTAAGAAAGTGACCGTATTTAAATTACATTGGATGGTTTTGGTAGGGTTTGAATTGATTTTTTTTTAATTTAATTGTTTTAAGCCATTTTGTAATAGAATCTAATACTGAATCCAAGTTTTTCCTAAAAGAGTCCGTATTTTTACAAGATATGATGACGGAGACATCATCTGCAAAGAGAACACAGTCTAATGAGATTTCTTGGGAAAGGTCATTTATACAGACCAAAAACAAAACGCATCCTAGTACACTTCCTTGGGGAATAGAACCGGCTATGGTCACAATGTCAGATCTAGAATTTTCGATATCACCCGTATCAAAGTTAGTATATTGTATTTCTACGCATTGTAATCTGTTCTGGAGGTATGATCGAAACCATTCAAATGCGTGTCCCCTCACACCGGGTCTATGAAGTTTATCGAGTAGAATTTTATAATTTACTCTATCGCACGCTTTGCTCATATCGAACAGAAGACCGGCTGTATATTCCGTATTTTTTACTGATTGCATTATTCTGTTCATATATTTATATACCTTTGTACTTCTATTTGAAACCGTATTGACTATCGTTCAAAATTTTAAACTTTTCAAAGTAATTTATTAGTCTTTTTGATATTACTGATTCTATTATTTTCGCTGATGTTGGCGACAATGCAATGGGACGGTAATTATTTAAGTCGGTTTTATCTCCTTTTTTATGTATAGGTTTGACTAATGATATTTTCAGGGAATCATATAAGATAGAATAGATATATTGATAGAACAAACATTTTGTTTCGAAAAAAATCGTTGTCCAGAGCAGACTCTCCTCTATTGGTAACGACAGTTCACGAGCATGACGCCAGCCATCTCTTCGTTCTACTGTATTTTTGAAAATGTTAGTAATTCTGTGAAGAACTGAAGTTTCATGTTGCTTCTTTATAATTCTTGTAAGTTAAAAAAGTGTATGTTAAAATAAACAATATGCTTATTTGGTTTACTAATTTGAAGTCGGAGTTATCTTCTTTAAAATTTAAACTTTTTAATGACATCGAAACCATCCATATACAAATGGAATAAAGCCAGAAATATTTAATTACAAATTTATACGTTCGGCAACAAACACTCATATACATTTTATTTAATAAATTTCGACAAGCTTCAGTTGATTATTTGCGCTAGTTAACCCAAAAGCAGTAGCAAAAATTATCGTCGGCTTACAACAGAAGCGCGCTCTAATTTCCAATAATTCCACTTCACTTTTTTCCCCAAATCCCTAAAATCTCCGTGAGATTTCTATACACACTTCCTGTCAAAGGCCGACCGCAACGGAATCATCTGGTTTAATATTTTAAGAAGAAAAAACTTAAAATTGTTTATGGTATCATTGTCTGCAACGCGGACGGTGCAGCTAATATGACAAAACAAATTTTGGAAAAAACTTTGATTCGTGCATACGTTTTTCAATTGTGTTAATAAACCGCGAAATATATAAATGCGGTACTGTCGGTTCAGTAGACATCTTATTTTTAAGATCAAAAGTAATTCGCTGAGTTTTAGATTCTTATGAATGGGGTATTCTGATGGCATTGTACCTGCGAGAGGATTATGCGATAATGCACCTGATTCGTTCTTTTGTGTGGTCGGTATTGAGATCTCCCTTTGAACGGCTAAGTGCGTCCGTTGCGTGTTTAGATATACTTGTAATTATATATTAGTAAGCATCAGTGGAATGGCAATTTTTCAGCCATAACATAATTATTATTTTTTATACATAATTATTGATTGATTTTATAATAGATTTGCAAATTAGCAAAGGGCAAGAAAATAAAAATACTAAAACCAACTTAAAAAATAGTTTAAAAAACTATAAAGCTACAAATTAATTTGAATTCAGTCGATGATTTGATGACCATGTTTAATGTCTAAAGTATTGTTTTTAAATGTTTTTTATTTAAGAATTTTTAGTGATGACAAGGGATGTAGTTATCCACTTTTTTGGGAAAAAATAAATTAGTGGTCTAATAACGATAAATAGAGAATTTACAACACTACCGGCGAAGATATCGTGAAACAATATACAAAAAAAAAAACATTTAGTCGAATTGAGACACCTTTTTTCACCAAGAACCATTCACACCCCAACGTAATATAGAAAAATTCTTCTAGTACACAACAGCGACACGACCGGGAGTAGAATTATGAACAGTATATTTTAAGAAGTACTATTAGACAGAAAATTGATGCATCTTCTTCTTGTTAATTCATAAATAGTAAGAATATAAAAATAAAATTATTGAATGACTAAATATACTTTTGTCAATTTCAAAGAAAATAAAATATACCTATTTGTCTGTGATAATTTCTAGCTTGAGAGTATACAAAAGTGACAGTTGGATTTTTGAGTAGTATTAAATAATCTGATACAAGAAAAAAGGGAGTTTTAAATATAAGAGATACTTTTAAAAACGTAGGTACCTTTAGACGTAAATTCTAGTTATTTTAAATATGTAATAACATGATAATCTAGTGCATGGAGTTCAGTCATTACAACAATATAGAACGACAATTTATTTTGTCACTTATTATTTCTATGATTATTTTTATGATGGGTTATTATCAAAAGTTGGCAACACTAACGACGCGAATATGGATATATGAGTTTGGTATTTTAATACGAACCTCCAGCAGTGTACCTACATGGTGGGTGCCGTCACCCCTGCCCGCCGACCGTGAACCAACAGTTACTTTAAATATTTACACAGCAATACACTGAATTAATATTTATTTAATATTCACTTATCGACTCGTTTAATAAATACTATTTTAACATGTAATTATGTTGAGCAAATATACCTAGATACTTTTGAAATGTTTGTCTTGTAATGTTACAAAATAAGTATTGCTTATTTGAATAAACAAAACAATACAGAGATACTTTTCAATGATCTACCAATGCAGATGCTATTTAGAGTAGTCGATAGAGTAAATGCTACTACCTATATAAATTAATAATATACTAAAAATAATAATTGTAAACATCGTTTAGTGGTTTAGAATATAGTAATCGCCTTTTTGTCTATGACACAAACAAATGAAAAAGAAAGGAATTTTTTCATAACGTCAGATTGATAATATAGAACGCCGAAACTCTTATTATTCGTACTTACTTATTATCATTTGGTCATTTTAAGTAGAATCATTAATATTCAAGTTGTTATAAACTCAAAGTTAATATAAAAAAAATATATATTTATCTTTATCCTTCATGCAAAATGCGCATATATATCTACTATAAATTTGATCGAAACCCTATTTAAAGAGTTACAAGTAAAAATAATATACGCTGATTATCATTGGCTATTCTTTACATAAGGCCGTTATTTTCATGCAGTTTATTATTAAACAGATACTTCAGTAATTACAATCACAGGGAAATTTATTCCTCATCGACATATTTATTTTATAATATTCTAAATAAACATAACGGCCCCGGTGATATTCTGCATAAAATAATTTATCATCAGCGGACAAAAATATTCTATCACCTGTAATAATATTGCTTTCCCAAAATCTCAAAAGTCGCATTCATTCACGATAATCTCAAATACCTCGACAACATTGTGAATTACAGTCATGTTTCGTATTCGGACGTGGGAAATAAAGTTCAAATTCTAACAATTTAAAACTGAAAATTGCCTGGTCATATTTTTTTGCTGGTGTATTTTTAAACCGACCAAATAAATGAGACGCATTGATCTGCTGTCAGTGTCGTGTGCGTGTTTACTCAGCGCACGCTGTACAATGCACAGTATGAGCGGTCACAATCAGCTATTGTCGGATCCGGGCTCGTGGTAGACAAATCGTCATAGGTATCGCCTACCTACTTCCTTCTAATTTTAATTTCTATAAATCATAACGTATATCTACTTTTATGTCAATTATTAAAAATTAAAAAGTTGAAATTCTTAGCTAAATTAGTAGCCTACTAAGCTTAAATCAAAGTTGCAAATCGATCATATATCTATTTATTTAAAAAGATAATTCTGTTCGTTGGGTAGAGTATTATTAAATAAAATAAGGCCAACTTGGTCCGTTTAAAATACTCCCAATAATAATAATTTATTTTCAGATCAAATTTAAAATTTAGTTAGTAAGACAAGCACATGAAAGTTATGTTAGTATATAAACAAGCAACTCTTATTCAATAACAATTTAATATCATGCAATATCTTAATAATAATGTCTCAATAATACTTGATTCCATTCATTTGTTAAGACAAATTTAAGATATTGGCACGAAAAAAGAACTTACATCGTTTGTGTATGTTGATGAAACCACCTTCAAATGGGTTCTAACAATCTGAAAAATGTATTATACTTTAGATATTAAAATTTAGGCGACGATAATGGAGTTAGTTAGTTCTACTTTTAGGACAAATATATGGGTGTTATAAAAAAATGAAAAGAATAACCAAATTAAAGCTCTATGTAATGCCTAATTTAGACTAAAATTTTAGAAGGTAGTTAATTAGTTCTTCAATTATTACTGAATATCTGTTTATACCTTTTCCAAAATAAATAAAAACAAAAGTATATTATCATTGCTTTAAAATAAGAATATGGACAATTAATCTATATTGTCTAATGACACATGTCAATATTTCAAATAGCCGCAGCAAACAAGTACTGTAGAGGCGCAAAACGTATAGTCATCATATGGAAAAAAATTACTGTACCAAATGAAGAGTTAAACAAATACGAGAGCAATCTTTATTTATAATAATTGTGGTTGTACGTTAGTGCAAGTCATCGTTCACGGAATCGGAACACCTACGCTCCACCTCGTGTCCACACCTAACGCGCGCGTCGCCGCATACCTCCCGAATCTCGACCTTACGGGATAAGAAATAAATTGAATTAATTTCACCGTCCAGCTGTCAAGTTAAGGCGCCAAAATTGACTTGTATTGTCGAGATGACAGCAGTTTGGGTGGCCGCCATTTTAATTTTAATGAGGCAAGGTTTGATTTGTTCCCATTTGTTCAATTTATTTTAAAAGAAGGGCAACATATTAGTCTTCGTTTTTTCTTTCCAATAACATATTGTCTCAACAAAAAACTCAGTTATTAAACAAGTCTTATCCACTAAGTACCGACCATTTTTTTCTCTAAAACAATATTATTATTAGTTTTACGTAGTTTCTTCATTATTCAAAACTAAAGTTCGTATAATTGAAGTGGCTTACTACTACGCGTAAACCGGTATATGTGCTTATTAATAACATTCGTGTACGCACGGTAGCCAAGTGGGTGTTAAATTCTTAAGCACGTATGTATGTAAAGACTCTTAAAAACCCGAAATGTCTCATCGTCCAACGACAAGATACAACGGCCGCTCAGATGCAAAACAAATAAGTGAATAGCACTCTCCGGTGGAGAGTGCGTGCAGGGGAACACCGCGCATTATGCACAAGGAGATTGAAAAGAAAGTACTCGAGACGAGAGCGTCCAGGCTGCGCCGAGTGCAATAAGCGTCGCGCGCCGCCGACGACGGCCTGTTCATTAACTCTCACCTACTCCATAAATAACTTACGAGCGTCATTCGTGAACGCGGCCGGACAAAAGAGCGCACCAACACTGAGTACTGGCGACGACGCGCTTCGACTACACCTCCACGGCAAACAAAGAAAAACAAAATACAAACTAGTATAAGCCCTCGGGCGGTGGTGGTGGCCGCTGCCGCGACCGCATACTGTTTTTATAACGGAGTTCTCGATGAAACTTTATCGCGACGAAACATCAACACATCTAAATAGTGGACAATTTATGCGCGGCTCGGTTTTCATAACGGAACGACGACGAAGCGAAGGGGCACACATCCATTTCAAAGAATAAACACGAAGGAGACTCTCTCTCGATGTATAAATAATAAATAGGGAGTATATTTCGTTGCTTTCCAGGCGTGCGTAGACAAAGGCTAGGTCGCGGCAAACGGCGTGTTTAAGCAGTGTTTGTTCTTCCGTCATTACCGTGGAGTGTTGGCTATAGCATGCTTGCCTCGTGCTAATTTCAGGCAGGTCGCGCTACGTGACGTTGTTGACACTATTACTCTTTCGGGGGGTTAACTCTGCCTCATCGAGACATTTTTTACATGAAAAGTACTTCATTTCATTTAATTACACATAGGAAATTGTAAACTTGTAATATAACAACAATAACATATTTATATCTTTGCCGTAGGTTAAAATATGGTTCCAGAACCACCGCTACAAATGCAAGAGACAAGCCAAGGAGAAGGCGATGGCGGAACAGAATCAACACAATCAGGTTTGTTATCTCCACTTACAATTTCAATTAAAATCATACAAATATAAAAGTAGGTAAATTCTAAGTACGAGTAATATGACGCATGATGAATCTTAATTTGCATAGAACTGGCCGAACAAATCCGAAGATGACCGAACGTTTGATTAAAATTTAACTTTAAACATGGCGTCATTATAATTGTACTTTCGATCATCATCGGAATTAGCTGGTGTCCTGCGCAACGAATGTATGCACATCATGCGTCAAGTTTCAACATTGTTTTTTTTTTAACCACTTATCATTATTATATATCATACATTCAAATGCTTTATGTAATCATTCCCAAAATAATATCAGTTATGTTTTCTTCTAATTATATTCGCGATCACGTCTAACGCACCTGCATTTTTGTCCCTAAAATCACGGTTATCAATGAATAATGTATATTAAAAGCGACGATATTTCCCTGACGGTGCACTGCGGCCCCCGTCTGTTTGCGATCGCAGCCCTTCGAGGTGCCCCCCGCTGCGTCGGGCCTGAATACGGGACCCGCACGACAATTACAATTATATTTAGCGAATCATTAGGGTCATGCCTGGATAAATTTAAATGTCGCCGCAGATAATGTTAAGATAAAATAAGACTGTTGTTTTGGTAGGTTTAGAATATTGTGTTATTTTTGTTAGACTTTGAACTGACCCATAGCTTCGTATAATACCGCCCTTTATCATACACTTTTAGAGGTTACTTTTACAGAAACATAATTATGTTTTTCCAATTATAATTGGAGTAGTAGATATGATTGTGAACGAATATAAAATAAAATTTTGTAACATTTTTATCCTGTACAGCTCTAGTATATATTGTTATCTATAGAAGGCATATTATAAATCAACATCATAAATACTTTAATGTGCAGCAAGTGCGTTATAAAAACAAAAAGATTATTTTTTGTTATATCTGGATGAGCAATTTAATTACAAACGCGGGAGTGGTAGCCCTGTTAGTGTTGCCATCGCACGGTAGTAGATTGCCTCAATTTGCGCGGGCACGTCGTCGATTCCCGGCACGCACCAGTGGGCGGAGATCGTGACGTAATGACATTTATTGTACCTACATTGTTAATACAATTTGAGGAGGCGAAAAGGCAAACCCTTTTATAAGTAACATTTTGAACTTTGTTTAATGGATGGGAAACTGATGAATATTAAAAAAAAATAGGTGAATTATAGATTTTAAATATAATTGAAGAGATGGGTTTAGTTAATGTTATTGCAAAATGAACAACAGATTTGATTTTTAAAATTGCTATAGTATTAGTATTACGTTAAAAAAATATAATATATATATGTAACTTGACTGGTGCCAAAGTATGTACAGCCGCTGGATAAATTACTTTGGGCTAATAAATGAATAAATAAATATTACATAAAATCACATACATTGGTCAGTTTCCAAGTTAAGGAGGTATGTACAACGGTAATATGAGTCGTTACCATAGTCGCTCGTACCGGCCATCACAATCTGCCACTGAGTATGAAGCGTATCTTCAATAATTTGCTGATATCTGTCATATCTCAACAGTCATCATCATCACCCCGGCGAGTGGCGGTGCCCGTGTTGGTAAAGGATGGGAAGCCGTGCGGGTCTGGTGACGCATCGTCGCCGGCCCACAGCCACTGCGCCACGCCCACGTCAGGGTACTCCGCCCAGCAGGGTTCCCAGGCCGCCTGCAGCAACCCCCTGGTCTCCTCTTACCGGCAACCGGCCGCGTACCAGCAACAGTGCTCCGGCTACCTACCGCTGCAAGGCAGGGCTTGGTAGAAGTTCCCACAGCTTTACCACGAAACAATGTTCAAGGAGGAGATGTATTTCGATTAATTTTTAAAGTGACATTTCAGTATATTGTTGAGGATTAGGTACATAACCTAATTCCAATAATTTTGTGAGGTCACGCGGCAGAAATTGTACCAATAATACATTAGAGCATCTTATGTTGCTTTATATTGATTTGAACTCCAAATTTAATAAACAATCTTACCGATTCCAAAGAATATGCAAGTAAGTCCGCTAATATGTAAAAAGGCTCTTTTTTACATGAAAATCTATATTTATGGAATTGTATTGAAAATGCCGTGTGAAACCACAATGAAAATCAAACATAACTTATTTGAAATCGAACTTAGAAAAGAAATGTAATTTAATAAAGTTTTTGTAGTTAATTTAACATCGTATTAAGTGAACTCCTTCTAGAACATTGTGTCCGGTAACGCTGGCTGCAAGCACAATAAAATTGGACAAAGTGTTTGGTGAAAAAAAAAACAGTGAACTACATTAGTGTATGAATGAACGAGACTATTAACCTTTTACACCATAAATGGGAGGAGGGTAAAGTGTAAATAATTTAGTTCATAGATAATAAGCACGACTAAGGATTTGAAATCAATATTTATTTGTGATAATATCAGATTTTTAACGAAGATTTGTCATTAAAACATAATTCAAGGGAAAAATATTTGACACTCACGTAAAACTCTATAGAACGTCTTTAATTACGCTTCGAATGAATACATTGTTTTCGGGCAAATCTCCTCAATTTTCGAGTGCCAAACTTAGATCAAAGCTTGATAATTGTAGAAAAAATAAAACAGTTCTGTTCGATTTATTATTGTAAATAACTGATATTGTAGTAGTAAATTGTTGTGTGAATAGTTTAATTTATAATAAAAAAAATCTGTGTTTTGTGTGTATCTTGATAAATAGATGCTAAACGTGTACATAGAGATTTCTGTATGAAGTATGAGCTAATGATTAAAATCTTGGCTTACTTGATATTTCATTTATAGTTTTCATATAATTATATGTCTCTTATTTAAAGTAAATCAATAGCTAAATCGGGTCTTTCACTATGAATAACTTATCATTCTATATTGAATTCGTTCCGCCTTAGTAACTACATCACACATGCCGAGGTGTTAAATCACAACGAATTTTTAGAAATAATGACAAAACAAAATGTGTGGATAAAATAGACTTAACCACGTCGCAATAAAGTCACCGAATTTTTTAACGTAATTATTTGTTTTCATTGATGAAAATTATTATTTTAATTATCTGTACTTAATTTATTATTTCGTGAAGCAACACTGTTACTATTATGTAATACTAACAAAACCAAGATGGCAATTAGCGGCGCTTCTTGATAAATTAATAGCAATAAGATCACTTTAATTACTGTTAAATTAGATAACTGGCCAGAATGAAATAGATTGTATTAAATTCAAAAACATGTTCTACGTTATGATTTTTAGGTTGATGTAATTATTCTACGTGTAGGTATAGGCGAAGTTATAATAATTATAAATAATAGTAATAATTTATAAAAAGGAATTTGTAACTATAATGAGAAGTGAGGTGTAATGAGTTTCGATTTATAAAAGTAATAAAAATTAACGAGTTTTACATGTTGTCTTTGATTTTGCTCGGGACAAAAACCTATAGTTATTTTATTGCATTGCAGTACATTCATTTTCCACTTATAAAGTCACCTACTATTTTAAAGATTTTTATAATTTAACATTAAAGCCCTTCTTTAAAGTTAAATATAATTATTTATTTACATAAGACGCAATAACAGTACTAATATCATAACAATGACAATAATAACAATCGAGAATCACATGTGATATTTGCAATTTGTCAAATACAAATATTTGGAATAAAGGCTCATAATAAAATTAATATAATTATAATAAGATTGATTCTTAGACGAGCATTTGTATAAAAATAATATAAGACAATATAACTACATTCCAAATGCCATATTTTTATATGTAATATTTAATCCACACAATATGTTTCAGCAATTTTTTTTTTATTATTTTTAGGCATTTCAGTATCTACATTAAGATTCCAAAATTATAATACAGTAGGGTTAATTTTAAATAAAAAAAACAAATAAATTAACATCGGTTGCACCTAATTGGTAACTGGTAGCTTTTAAGCCCAACAAACAATCTTCCGGAACGTAAACAATAAAACTCAAAACATTACCTTTGCGCCCTCCTCTCGAGGCGTAAGCTCATTTTATTGTCTTCAATATTCCCAGATTACGCTGTAATCTCTCATAACGTATAACAGTTTATTCCGCATGGCAACATCGACTTTGTTGAGCGTCAGTCACGGCCCGCCAAAATGAAAATAATAACATGGCGGCACTCGACCGGAATGACATAACTCATGCTGTACCCTACTAAAGAAATTTATAACTTATGGCTAAAAGCAAGGGGCTCAATTTTCTTCGTAGCGAAAGAGATGTTGGAACGTTTTGTCTGTTTGATATAATTTTGATAGAACAAAGGCAGGGAAGTGCACGTGCGCGGGTTTACGAGGGCAACGCTAATAAAATGGCGGATTAACCAGAGGGACAGGTGGGGGCTACGAAATTGGAAACTATTGGCCACTTCAAGAGAAAATTGGCATATCGCTTAGTTTCGGGTTACTAAGGATTTGTTTCAAATGGCTTTAAATGAAACGATTCGAGAAATGTTGTAATGTTTAAGTTGTTATTGTTCTAGGAAAGTTTTTAATTGTATTGATAAATGTTGCGTTGATGTCTATTGCTACGTCGTAGAGTTCGTAGCAAAATGCTACGACACGTTGGTTTATCATTGATACATTATTATTTCAGTGTGGTATAATAACTGCAATTGGAGTCTGAACAAATGCTTAATCATTCCTGTAAGCTACATAAAGTCCAAATTGTTTCAGAGTCATCAGGCGCGAGGAATTTATATAAATTATGTGAATTAATACAATTTAGTTTATATTATATTCTTTGTGTTTCACTTTTCATATTTATCCCAACGAACAAACAACATTTTGTCTTCTTACATTGTGAATTATTTTTACTAGTACATGTTATAGGATAAGTTCTTACCATAGAGCTACTCAAGACCTAACAGGACTGACGAAGTTTTCAAGCGCACGTTACTTTTTGCTACTACTACAGAGCGTATTTTTCATCAATCCACCCCAAGGCAATACAAACCATACAGCCGAAAGAAATATTTTAACTTTCGATAAAGATGAAAACTTGTTCTTATTATTGTATTTGATCAATTTTGCATTTACAATGATGTACTGGAAAATATTCATGATGAAAAATGCTTAGGTCTTGGGTAGCTTAGTGGTTTGAACTGTCGCCCAGATTGCGAAATTCGAGTCCCATAATAGAGTGCCAGGTAGATACAAAGTGATTTTTTAAACATTTTCATTAAGAATAAGGACAATCTTTGATAACAAAAAAAAAAAATCAAAAAATCAAAATTTATTTATTCAGTTTAGGCTTTTACAGAGCACTTGTGAAAGTCGAAAACTACGCCATCGGTTCGCAAAACTACGGCGGGAGACCTTGTACTGAGAAGAACCGGCAAGAAACTCAAGAAACAGGATCTTTAAATAAAATGTCTATATAGAAATATGATATTTACCATATCTTGGTATTATTTATGCTTTTCAACTTACGCAATAACAACACTGAAAGTAAATATTTTTCATAAGATTTTCAGTTCTGGAAATTGGACATGTCTCTGACATTGGGGTGTTTTATAATGCATTCATTTAGATATTTAATTATTTTTTATACTCTACACTAATATTATACAGAGGAAAGATTTGATGTTTGTTTGTATGTTTGTTTGCAACGAATAGGCTCCGAAACTACTAGACTGATTGTAAAAATTGTTCCACCAACGGGAAGCTACATAGTATACGGAGAGTATAGGATATATTTTACCTCGAAAAACTGCAAATAAAATGATGAATATGAGAGTGGAAATTTGTATGGGGTTTAAGATTTGAATTGATGGGGTAATATTAGTTATCGTGGCGGCGTGCACTTCATAATAAACACTTGATTTTATTATAAGAATCCTTTTATTAATTCACACTTTTGCAAAAACATCTTACACCATTTCATATCAACCACAGAAAGAGAGAGTGCCATAGAGTAAGTATCCAAAAGTAGTATGCTATATTAACAACCACAGATTAATAATCTAACATGGGAAATTAAAACGTTACCATAGTAACCATTGTTTACTATTCAATTTGTCATTGTTATTGTATCCGTGTCCATGATATGAATCGATATATAAACAAACAGTTCGATAAGAACCACGCGGACGACACCGGAAAGCTAGTATTACTATCCATCCATGGTGTTTCAAGAATACCTGATACGTTCCTGTTCCAAATATATAAAAATCAGTAATATTAAAATCGTTTATATGTTTACCTGAGACAGCGATTTTCCATTTATTTGATTATCAGATATCAAGAGATTGATTTTAATATCCAAATTTTTACAGGGGTGGTCCTGCCTTTACGCTGAAAATTGTCTTGCCGATTATCACTTGTATATGACATTTTTTAATTTGGTACAATAATTGTTAAGCTGATTATTATTTTGACAAAAAACTTTTGGGATATATGTCATTTGTCAAATCTTTGAATAGGTCCCACAACTATTAGACTAATAATGTTTAGTCAACGTACTCGTATCTTTCTCTTTTCATAGGCGTATACGTAAGTGTCATAGTAAAAAGCACACCAAACGTTGGTGACGATGGGGTAGGAAAATAAAACTAAATTCTATGGTAAATTGGCAAATAATTATTCAGCGAAATAAAATTCTATGAAACGTTAGTTGGCAAGTGATAATCGACCAAACAATTTTCGGCCTAAAGGCAGAGAACCCATTGATGAATGCAACTTTATCTAATATAATGCGTCATTGGAACTCATCTTAATCAAAGATTAAT